CCCATAATTGTATAACCCATTTGTTTATTTTTAATTCCAAAGTGCATTACTTTGCATTTATCGACATTAAACCTCATCTGCCACATTAATGCCCACTCCCCTATTTTATCCAGGTCCTCCTGTAATGTTATAAAGTCCGTGTCTATTACCCTCCCAATTTTGGTGTCATCCGCAAACACGGAAATATCGCTGTTAACACCCTCCCCGATGTCATTAATAAATAAGTTGAACAATATGGGACCCAGCACAGAACCCTGAGGCACACCGCTCATTACACTAGCCCAGTCTGAAAAGGTGCCATTTACAGATACCCTCTGGACACGTTCCCGTAGCCAGTTCTCTATCCACGTACACACCACCTCATCTATGCCCATAGCCCTCAGCTTGTGTAGCAAGCGTTTGTGTGGTACCGTATCAAAAGCCTTTGAGAAATCCAGATATACCACATCTACCGGCCTCCCTCCATCCATATCTCTACTTACACCCTCATAAAAAGTTAGCAAGTTAGTTAGGCAGGAACGATCCTTCCTGAACCCATGCTGATTGTCATTAACTATCCCGTTTTCCTGAACAAATTCTACCAGATAATCCTTTATTATGCCCTCTAGCATTTTACAAACTACCGATGTTAGACTGACCGACCTATAGTTCCCAGGTTGGCACCTAGCCCCCTTTTTGAATATTGGGACTACCGTAGCCCTCCGCCAATCACTGGGGATCCTACCAGTCATTAAGGAGTCCTTAAAAATGAGGATTACAGGTTGATCATTTATGCCATTCTGGGTCTATGCACATATTAATTGCTGTACATGTTGTTTATCTGAGTACATAGCCTTCTAAGAAAGCTGTCAAGAGACGTTGAAATGCATCAAAGACATGTGGGTGTCTTTCCAAAAGTGCAAATTCGCTTGAATGTCCGGCTATCAGACATCCAGGATAAGACAAGGATACATCCAGTTTGTGATACCCTACATCTCTCTGATAAGATGCATCCAGTTTGTGATACCCTACACATCTCTCTGATAAGATGCATCCAGTTTGTGATACCCTACACATCTCTCTGATAAGATGCATCCAGTTTGTGATACCCTACATTTCTCTGATAAGATACATCCAGTTTGTGAAAACCTTATTATTTAATAAATCATTTTTTATCAGTGTTTTTGTATGTGTAACAAAATAAACAGAGAACAAAGTACCTGATCTAGGCAAACACAAAGGATTTTTTAACCTGCCTGCAGCCTCATGAAAGTGGGCCATCTTCTGTGGGGCCGCATATATGCCTACCTGTGTTTGTTCTGTAAAAACGGTTTCTAATCTTTGTGCTCTAGGCAGTTTTTCTAGTTTTATGGAAAGCACAGTGTTGAATAAACTAGGTTCAGAAAATCAAATTAAAGTAATATGTATCAGAGATAAAGGGTTACCATTCCAAAATAGCCTGGCATGTCCTCGGGTACATGGAGCTCTGGATAAATATTCTCCAAAAACCATTTGAAAGGTTTGCACTGCAGTCTTTCCCTGAGTTGCCTTCGCTCTGACACATCTCCATATGGCTCCTGGAAGAGATCTCTTAATTAAACTGTAAAGGAAATCAGCTTTGGCTAACAGAGGAATCAAGGAATATAAGTTTTGATTGTCAACACTCACTACAACCAATATAAATATATGTAAAATGCTACATTAAAAAGTTCATAAGCTTAAACTATGGAGATGCAGGACTGCTTGCTATCGGCACTGATGCAAACACGAAGGGGTGAGTATGCAGCAGAATAGGGGTTATTGTAAAGTTATCCAGGGTTTCCAGTTACCATCACTATCTGTCCAGCTGAAAACAGTTACACCAGACAGAATGTGAAAGAAAATCTGTAACAGTGGCACAGACAACAAAATAAAAATCTGACGGGTTATATCCATCATATACTCTACCTAAGAAAAGCATTTTTATTTGTCTGTGTTGCTGATTCAGAGTTCTCCTCATCTGGTAAAAGTTGGTCAGCAGGACAGGAAGTAGGGGTACATTGAGCAGTAAAAAGTTGACTGGGATTTTAACCATTCCCACTCTACTCGAAAACAAATAAAAAAAGGTTTAGCTGGACACTTTAGATGTTTGGGTTCAACAGAAAGGCAGTTTAGGCGTTAATTGTCTTGAAGCAAGGCTGAGTTTTACCAACTCATTTTAAAGGTTAGATACTGCATGCACATTTGTTCTGTATGAATTAAGCAGCGGTTGTGAAAATGGGGTGTAATTGAACGGCTATTTTCTCTTCTGGTTGAATGTTCTTCAAATATTATGGGCAGTAGTAAATATAGGTTAACGTAAACTGAGGAGTTAAATCTTAAAAATGCATTCAAGTACCTTAAAGGAGAGCTATGGGGTTAATTATTTTCCCCATAGTTCTCCTTAGGGTAACGGGAGGACACAAACTAGCGTCCTCCCGTCACCCTAGGCTCAGCATACAGTGAGCTGTAGCTTGCTGTATACTGAGACGCCACAGTATACCGCGAGCAGCTGCTCGCAGTATACTGAGATGCCGCAGCTGAAGCGGATCCCGACAATTGTGCCGGGATCCACCCAGCTGAGTGACTGACAGCTGATTCTGCCTATCTAGAGGCAGAGCCAGCTGTACCCGCCCCCTCCCCCGTCCGTTCCACCAGTCAGCGCTGGCGGATCGGAGCGGGGAGAGGGGAATCCAGCCCCTCCCCTGTCACGGCAGAGAGCCGTGACAGGATTGAGAGGTGAGCGAACGCCGGTATATGTTCGCTGAAAATCACTCACCTCATAGGTCTCCTTTAACTATTAATAGAAATGTAGCTTATTTGTGTATCACTAGGCTGTAGATCCTCAAATCATCTCTGAATTGGTGCTGACACTGTCCTTTCTGGAGGGTGGTTACTTTTGTTCCCCATGGTCCCTGTGTGTGTTGTAAAGTAGTCTAAGCTCCCTCCGTGATGGACTACAGTCTCATGTGCAGTTTACTAATTTGTATTGAGATTGTAGTCCATCACAGGGTGAGCTTGAAGCGGTGGCTACTTTAAAACACACCCAGACCATGGGTAACAAAAGTAGCCACCCTCCAGAAGGAAGGACAGTATCGGCATGAATTCAAAGATGATTTGAGGATCTACAGCTGAGTGATACACAAATAAGCTACATTTTTGCTAATAATTAAGGTACTTGAATGCATTTTTAAGGTTTACTTTCGGAGTTTAGTGTCACTTTAATAAAGAACATAATATGATTCAGGAAAACAACACATTATGGCCACTAGATGGAGCTGATGATCATTGGAGAAAAAAAATGCATCTTAGTAACAAGAAATACAATGCAACAATTTTAGGGACATTCAGTTTGCTAGATGTATGTGCAGTTTCGCTGTATAAATAACTATACAAATTTTTTATATACATACCTTAAAGCAGGGGTGCCCATAAGGTCGATCGCGATCTACCAGTCGATCGCGTAGAAATCACTGGCAGATCGCGATGTCCTCTCCTCCCATCGTGGGGCTTCTCTGGATCCCCTCTGCTCTCCCCATATGTATGCAGTGGGGATCCGAGAAGAAGTGAAGGAACCGCTGCAGCCGGCGGAGGACGGAGCCGCTGTCACAGAACTAAGGCCAAGCGGTGAGGAGAGAGAGACGCTCAGCCAGGTTCCGACAGCCGGCGCCTCTCTCTCCCCTCACCGGTCGGCCTTAGTTCTGTGACAGCGGCTCCGTCCTCCGCCCCCAGCGGCTGAAGTGCTTCTTTCACTTCTCCTCAGATCCCCTGCGGCCTCTGCCTGGGAGAGCAGGGGGGATCCAGAGGAGAAGCTGACCGAAGCCCCCCCAAGAGTAAAAAAATTTAATAGAATTAAAAATAATTTTTAAAAAAAGTAAAAAATAAAAAAAATCCCGGACGCAGGGCGCTGGGTGACATCACACGCCTGTGGGGGGGGGGCGCGTTTTTTTTCTTGCCTCGGGCGTAAAATGAGCTGGTTATGGCTAAGTTCCCGTGTTGCTTGTGCGGCTGAATGTGTCAGGCGCTGTAGATGGAAAGGGGCAGGACACCTCTCCCCATGTGCAATGTCGGCCACACGAGCACTGCGGGAGGACAGGACGCCGGGGCCTCTAGGACGCACTGGAATGTAAGCTGGCCGACTCCCTGCATTCAGGGACGGGAGGGGTGTGGGGTTGTATTGAAGTCAACGGCACCGCAGCCATGCCCCCCGCCCACAGTGCGATCGCCCGCACCCGGAACGCAGGCACATTAGTGCCTGCATTCTGGTCCAGTGCGATCTGCAAAAATAGTTCTTGCAGCATTTTTCCGGATCGCACTGTACGGGAACGCAGGCACTAATGTTCCTGTGTTCCGGCGATCGCACTGTGGGCGAGGGGCCTGGCTGCGGTGCCATTGACTTCAATGCCACGCCCCGTCCCTGAATGCAGAGGTTTTTTCGTTGGTAGATCTCATTGAGCTCGTAATTTGAAAAGTAGATCTCCAGACGAAAGATTGTGGGCGCCCCTGCCTTAAAGCGTGGGTGCTAAGAACTCATTTAAGGGGATTGTAAAGTGTTCTGGTAAAGGAAGGGTTAGTGTTAGGGGGTTGTGTTCTGATGCATTCTTTCCTGATGCATTTTCCATTGAAATCAAAAGAAACAAATAAAAAGATGCATTTTAAGTATCACTGCAATGCACTTTGCATTGCATGTCGACGCATATCACATTAAACACCTGTTGGCGTGTCCTTTAACACACATTACAAACATTGACATGCATTTTGATGCTCTTCCATTGATTTCAATAGATAATACATTATACAAAAAAAAAGTGTTTGTAGGACAAAGCACCAGGACTTGTCCTGCAAACTACCTGCACCAGGCTCTAGAAGCTGAAAACAAATGTATTGTTATAACTATATTACCTTTACACAAGAATGGACAGTGGATTTGCCATGATGAAATGGCACACCTTTAGTATGGTATATTTCCTGCTGGTTAGACATATTTTCTTTTTATACTTTAACATCTTGTTAATCTAGATTTATCTTACCTGGCGTGCATGAGGGTTTCGGTGGTAGTAAAGTTCTTTATAATCATCCATCCAAACTTCTGCTGCCCGCACACTATTGGCCAAAGCTTTACCACGAGCGTATGGGGCTTGTCTGGGAAAGACATGTCCAACATGCGAACAAGGGTGTACTTCAAGTGTTCCTCCACACTGCCAAATCTATCATTAGGAACAAACATTTTGTTAAATTACTACAGTACAATATAATGATTTTCATATTTTTCAATCATGTCATAGTGAAACTTCAATGAAAGTTGATGTCATATGAGACAACGCTGCCGACAATTACATTTTAGGAAAACTTACACCCCAAAGACTGAGTAGGAGGTAATCACAGGGATGAAGCAAGCACACAAAACTATGACTATTCATATTACTATTTTCTTCTGAACAGAAAAATAAAGTCTAACCCCAGTGAAAACTTATTTGGGGGGGGGGGGGGGGGTTGAAGGGGGAAAAAGTG